CGAGGGGCAAGGCGCGGGCTGGTCCTGCCGGCTGTGGGAGCCCTGAGTCCCCAGGCCCCCAGCACCCTGGGGCGCCAGCCTGGCCCGGCGCGCCCGGCGCTGACCGACCTGCTGACCCAGCACAGCCGGCCAGGGCTTAGCCTGGCGCATTCCTGCGCGGCCCCAACAATGGCCGCGGGCCGCGCAGGGTGGATTTGGGGTGTGTCTCCGTGCCCTGGCGTGCAAAATCGGGGCGGCTTTGTGGCGCGCCGGGAGAATCTGCTAGATAAGCGAGGGCAGCCGCCCGGGGAAACTGCTGAGCACGGGAAAGCGGCTGAGACGCTGCGAGGGGCAGGGGGGCGACGGCGCTTCCTGCCGCTGGGAAAACGCCGGCCAGCTCGGTCCTCCCGCGAAGACACACACACCCCATAGAGACACCACACGCCACGCGCGCGCACACACACGCACGCCCCAGGCCTGGCCCACGTCTCAGCTCTGCCCGAGAGGGATAAGAGCGGCCGGGCTGCCTCCTCTCCCACTGCAGGTCAGGCCGGCGACAGAGAGACCGTGGAACTGGGCTGGGTGCTGGCAGGTGCAGGTAGCTGACCCTTCCCGTGACCCGGGAGGCTGAGGCCTCGGGGGTCCTGTTGGGGTGGGGGGCTCAGGGATGCTCCCTCCTGCAGGGGACCCTCAACAGGCAAGGTGCCTGGGGTGTTCGACACCCAGAGGGGTCAACTGCACCTGACAGAGGAGTGTTCCCTGCTGGCAACCGCACAGTGACCACAGTCAAAACAGCGATCATAGTCATTATGCAGTGCCTGTGTACGGTGGTCACGCAGTGGTCACTCAGTGGTCACTCAGTGGCCACTCGGTGCTCACGCAGTGGTCAAGTACCGGTCTTGCTGTGGTCAGCTTTGCTTCTTGTCTGTCCCTTTGCACACTCCGCAGAGGCGGGGACCCAGCCCCAGGCCCTGAGGGGCAGCAACACCCGAGGGCCCTGGCGTGGCCAGTTCACGTGACACCTTGTGTGTGTTCAGTTGCATCTGTGAAATGGGCACCTCAAGTGGCTCCCACTCCGCTTCCCGGTGCGCTCGTTGCTTCTGGAAGCCCGCCCCAGTGCACGGGTACTGCCCTTGCCCACCAGGCTCAACACCCACTGCTGGGGCCTCCCTGCGGCACAGTGAGCTAACCCGTGCACAGTCCCGGCTGCTTCGCTCCCGTCCAGCTCCATGCCTGTGGCCTGGAAAAGCAGTGGAGGACGGCCCAGATGGGACCCTGCACCCGCGTGGGAGACCTGGAAGAAGCTCCTGGCTCCTGGCTTTCGCCCGCCCAGTCCTGGCTGTTGGGGAGTGAACAGGGAGCTGAAAGGGCTCTCTCTCTCTTCCTTTCTCTAACTGCCTTTCAAATAAACAGTTACTAGTTACAAGGCCAGGGAAGCCAGGCCACCCAGCCTCCTGCTTTCCCACCTGAGTTAGTGTCCAGGCACTGTCACGAGGCCCAGTGGCACCCCTGACCTGAGACCCTGCTGGGGCCAGCCCACGGGCATGCAGAGCTGCCCACTCTGCACTATATCACGCTGGCAGAGCCCATGTGTCTGTGATGACTGTCCCGGCCCTGCACAGGAAGCCCTCCGCGGTGTTTCCTCAGGGCGTTGGTTCTGGCGCTGTTCCTGGTCTGGGGTTACTGGGAACTGTGTGGCAGTGTGGCATGGAGCCACAAGTGGGAGGATCATGACAGAGGGTGGCTGTGGGCATCTAGGACACAGACACATTGCCCAGGGCCCGGGGCACATGTCAGGGGCTGGGCAGGATGGTGGGGGCCGGGCAGGACAGTGGGGGATGGGCATGATGGTGGGGGGTGGGCAGGACGGTGGGGGATGGGCAGGACGGTGGGGGGTGGGCAGGACGGTGGGGGATGGGCAGCACACTGGGGGATGGGCATGATGGTGGGGGATGGGCAGGACAGTGTGGGACAGGCAGCATGCCAAGGGACGGACAGGATGGTGGGAGATGCCCTTATGCCAACTCCCAATGGTGTGCAATTCAAAACGTCTCGGTAAGTCTGGGGCTGCACTAAAGCTGTCGCCCACAAGGCCAGTATCCCAAATGGGCAAAGGTTCGAGTCCCGGCTGCCCCACTTCCCAGCCAACTCCCTGCTGAAGCGCCTGGGAAAGCAACAGAAGATGGCCCAAGTGCTTGGGCTCCTGCACCCATGTGGGGGACCAGGAAGAAGCTCCTGGCTCCTGACTTGGGACAGGCCCAGCTCGGACCGTTGTGACCATTTGTGGGGTGAGCCAGCAGACAGAAGCTCTCTGTGTCTGCCTCTATCAGGGTATCACTACCCTTCCAATAAAAAATAATAAAAACAAATCTTTAAAAAAAAATAAATAGATAAAGCAAATCTCTTTTTACAAGCCCACAAACCTCCCCCTGGTACATTCTCAGGACTTCGTGGCGTGCAGCTCGGTGCTCAGTGGAAGTGGCCAATGCCCCAGGCCGGGGCTGCCAGCTCGGCCGCTGGGCTCCCCACAGTTCTGCAGGCTGGAATCCAGTCCAGGCCCCGTGTGGGCAGAGCTGGCTCCCCGTGCCTCCCTCCTCAGCCTGCAGATCACTTCTCGCTGTTTGTCACGGGGCGTCCCTCTGTGCATGTGCGCCCCCAGAATGTCCTAGCTCCCATTCTTGGAGGGACATGGCCACATGGGGTTAGGACCCAGCCGGCGGCCTCTTTGAAGCCCGGTTTCTCTCCTCTAGACAGCTGAAATGCTGAGGCTTGGAGCTACAGCTGTGGATGTGAGGGGAGCCCTTTGCCACCAAAGCTGGCTGAGCCGCCGTGGCCACTCAGATGAGTGCCAAGTGGTGAACGACACCACACCGGCCTCCCCATCCTGGCTTGCGCCACGGCCCCGCTACCTTGCTGTGCACACCTGTACACGCTGCCAGTGCTGCTGCTGGCTGACGCCCCCGCGAGTTCGCTGATGCTGCTAAGTGTCCATAGAGGAAGCAGGTGGCTCGGCGGGACCGCTGGCATTGTCAAACAGGCTCAGTGAGAACCCACGCCGCACAAGATGGCTCCAGGCCGCAGTCACGGTGGGCCCCAGCAACTGCCCGCAGCACCTGTGCCAACCGGGCAGGGAGGCGCGCTCCAGGCGGTTTATACTGGCCAGACTTGCCCTTACTTCTGTTTTCAGTGCTGCCCAGTGCTGACCCTCCCAGCACCAGCTCTTTCACCTGCTGTAGCTTTGAGCTCCAGGGGCATCCCCGGCTCAGTGGAGAGGGGCCCCCAAACCCAGGCAAGGCACAGTGGAGCTTGCTCCAGAGGCTCCCCTCATCCTCCCCATCCAGCTGCCTGGCTGCAGCTCCTCTTGGCTGTCACTCCTTGTATGTCTCCCAGGGGCTTTGGCAGCAGTTGTGGCCCCGGGAGAGGCTGCTGGGAATGGATGGGAACCGGGCTGGCTCACTGACTGGGATGCAAGCCGAATCAGGTCACAGGATGAATGCGAACAATGCAAGAAATCTGTGATGAACAAAATACCAAGAAAAAGACAGGTGAGCCTAGGGCTGCAGCATGGCTGCCCCAGCACAGTCACAGCCTGGCCCTGCTGGCCTCTCCCTGGAAGACAGGCAAGCTGGGGTTGGCTGCCCCAGCATGGCTGCCCCAGCACGGTCACAGCCCGGCCCTGCTGGCCTCTCCCTGGAAGACAGGCAAGCCAGGGGGACACTTGCTTCCACTGGGAGGCCTCAGTGGGCCCCAGGGTCAGCGGTCTGCTCTGTTCACACTCACGTGTATGGGTACTGAGCCCAGCCCAGGGGAACATCCAAAGCACCCTGCATGGTGGCCCCTTCATCTTCATCTGAGCTGGCTGACCCACACGGTCCCAGGTGGTCAGCTGGTCCCTCCTGACCCCCACTCTGCTCTACAAAGTGGGGTGATGCTGGGACCTCCTCGTAGGGTGTCCCCAAGCCAGCCCCAGGGAACCCAGCAGGTGCAGGCCTGGCTTGAGGGGGCGCTGTTCCTCCCTGCAGTGCTGGACGCTGACCCTGGGGATGGAAGACGGAAGATTCTGCTGCTCCAGAATCCGAGAGTGCAGGGCCAAAGCAGTCCTTGGCAGCTGGCCCTGGTCCCGGCCAGGGCTGTGCACGTGTCCCCCGCGACATGCCTCAGGTGCCAACACCCCTAAAAACTGCAGCTCATCTCCACACCCTCCTGAGTCCCTGGGGGCTTTGGTGTGTATACTGGTTCCACAAACATAACACAGGCATGGGTCAGGAGCCAGGGGGCATGAGGCCAGCAGGAAAGAGCCCACGGTCATGATGGGGCATCACCCTGTGGCGAGAAGGAAGAGAGGGGCTGGTAGTGAGTGTGAGCAGGCCGCTGGACAGACATGCGCCATGAGCCGCCCGGGGAGGGCTCCCCTGACATGCCACAGGCAGAGGCACACACTGGCCACAGGGCCTGGTCTGGCGATGTGTTCACCCTGTGGGGGGTCCAGGCTGTGGGCATCTGGGGTCAGCCACAGACAGGGAGCTCTGAATGCATCAGGCCAGGCAGACACCTGCACATGACCCAGAGCCAGGCTTCCAGCAGAATGGTGCGTGCGCCGTGAGCGTGTCCCTCTGCCTGCTGCCCCCAGCATCTTCAGCCACGAGTTTTGCATTCAGTAGCAGTGGTCAGTCTGCATTTGCCTGGCGGTGTGACATTTGGGGACAGTGTGTCCACCCGCTATGCCTTGGTCTCCTGACCTGGGAGACAGGGCACCCTCCCAGCAGCTGGGACCCCAGGCTGCCCTGAGTGGGGCGGGGAGGGCAGAGCCGGTGCCCGGGCCCCCCGGTGCAGGCCTGCTGCGGCAGCCTTGCGGGTTTCTGCTGACCTTGCAGCCGCCACATGAGCTAATGCTTCCCCACCCAGGCCCCCTTAATGCCTCCATTCTGTCCGCGACGTATAAAGGCAGGGCCGGCGCTCCAGCTGGCCACTGCCCTGCCCAGCGCTCCCTGCCCGAGTCCTCCAAAGCCTCCGCTCCCAGCATGGACATCACCATCCAGCACCCCTGGTTCAAGCGGGCCCTGGGACCCTTCTACCCCAGCCGGCTGTTCGACCAGTTCTTCGGTGAGGGCCTTTTTGAGTACGACCTGCTGCCCTTCCTGTCGTCCACCATCAGCCCCTACTACCGCCAGTCTCTCTTCCGCACCGTGCTGGACTCCGGCATCTCCGAGGTAAGCCTCCCCCATCCCTGGGGCCCGAGAGCTAGGGCTTCTTGCTGAGCCGCCCGCTGCCCTGCCCGGGCTGCCCCCGAGCCTGCGGGGATGGCCGCTGTCCGCCTGGCGGCCACGCAGCACGGCCTCCTGCGCCCCTGGGGAAGGGCCGAGGAGGCAGCCCGTGGGCGCCGACCGCTGTCTTTTCTGCCATCAGCTCATGACCCGTATGTGGTCGGTCATGCACCGGCCACGTGCTGGAGGCCCCAAGAGCAACCCTGGCAAGGCAAGTGGACGCCACTGTCGCTCGCCGCTCCTGCCCAGTGCAGGCAGCCCGGCTGTGGGAGGGGGATGGCCCTGGGAGACAGAGCAGCCCGCCTCAGCCCTCTGCTGGCCCGGAGAGGCCACGAGAGCCAGCTTCCTCCCGCCTTCAGGGCCACAGCTGCTGGACCAAGTGCCCCTGTCTGCCCCAGATGCAGGATACCCCGAGCCCATCCCCCCAAGATCCACCCCAGGGTGGGGAGGAGACTGCCGTGTGGGAGGGCGTGCCCACAGGCCATGGGCAGGAGGGCAGGACCCTGGAGCAGCGGCAACCTCATGAGCTTATCCAGTAGGCCAGCTGGTTAGCTCCTATCCAGTAAGTCAGCCCTTAACCAACACGTGAGTTAGCCCCGAGCTAGTCAGCTGGCACAGTGTGCCCCTGGCCAACCCTGCTCGGAAGCACCTACACGGGTGGAGTGTCCCGGGCGTCCGCCGGCAGTCCTCGGGGCGTCCCACACGAGGGTCTGGTTTCAGGTGCGGTCTGACCGGGACAAGTTTGTCATCTTCCTGGACGTGAAGCACTTCTCGCCCGAGGACCTCACCGTGAAGGTGCAGGAGGACTTCGTGGAGATCCACGGCAAGCACAGCGAGAGGCAGGTGCGGGCACAGGTGCAGGGTGCCAGCGTGGAGAAGGGGTGCCCGTGGCAGCACCGTGGTCCTGAGCCCTCCAGCAGGGCAGGGCTTGGGCACTGTGGTCAGGATCCAGAGCGGGTCCTGGCCAGCACTCCCATAATGGTTGGGCAGAGTGCCAGCCCAGCGGGGCCTCCCTGGGACCTGCAGTGGGTGGGGCTCCTCCCTCCCATCCACCCTGCCCCACAGTCCCTGCTCCTGAGACACCCTGGGGCCAGGCAGCATCTAGCGGGGAGCCCCTGGAGGAGTGGGGAGCCAGGTCGGGATGAATGGGGGTGTCTAGAGGAACGGGGAGCTTTCTGAGCGTGCTAGGCTATGGTTGCTCAGGGCACACCTGACCCAGGTGCGGGGCTGGCCCATTGCCTTCTGGACGGCAGGTGGTCACTCCAGGGCCCTGGTTGACTGCCCGGATGCCCAAGGGCCAAGTCCCCTCTAGGGGAGGCAGGGCCGAGGCCCCAGGGCGTTTATCAAGGTGTCCTGGCCTCATCCTAGTCCCAAGCCAGCAATCAGGCTGCTACCTGGCCACTGCCGCCGGCCACCCCTGACTGCACCCTCTCCTGCCCAGGACGACCACGGCTACATCTCCCGTGAGTTCCACCGGCGCTACCGCCTGCCCTCCAACGTGGACCAGTCGGCGCTGTCCTGCTCGCTGTCCGCCGACGGCATGCTCACCTTCTCCGGCCCCAAGGTGCAGTCGGGCCTGGACGCTGGCCACAGCGAGCGAGCCATCCCCGTGTCCCGGGAGGAGAAGCCCAGCTCGGCGCCCTCCTCCTGAACCAGCCCGCCCAGCGGCATCCCCCAGGCCCCCCGGCACTGTGCCGGGCAGAGGTGTGGGGCTCGTCCCCCCTTCCCCTCCCCTCCCTCTTCATCTTCCCTGGGGGAATGAAGGTTTGAGAGAGTGACACCGAGCCTGCTCTGGGGTGCCCTAACCACAACACTGGCCAGTCCACAAGGCGGGGACAACCATGCCGCCCTCCCCCTCCGGGGCGCGGGTGTCCAGCTCTGCCGAGCGGCCAGGAGGAGGCGGCAGCTGGGCTCTGAGACACCCACCAGCCGGGCTCCCCACGTGCCCGGACGCCACGGCAGCCCACCCTGCTGCGGCCCAGCCCTCCTGCCCAGCGCCTGGGCCTCAGACAACCTCCTCTCTCAGACCGACTTCCTCCACCCTTCCTCTATGTAGTGCCACTTTTGGGGACCCCGGTCCCCCACGGCAGCCAATAAAGAGCAGGTGACACAAGCAGTGTGCTGTCCTGTGGTCTTGCGGGGTTGGGAAGGAGAGGGCGGGGCCTGGCCGGAGGGGCGGGGCCTGGCCGGAGGGGCGGGGCCGTAGGACAGTGTGGGCATGGGGTGCACACACAGCAGCCATGACCTTGGCCAGCATGGGGCACTCAGTCACTGTCCTCTCCCTCCCTGGGCTGGACACTGGCTCTCAGGGATTCTGGCACCCAGAGGCCAAGGGTCCAAGCAGAACCTAGGCCCAGGGCAGGCTGACCTCCACGCTGACCTCTTGCAGCCTGCCCAGTTCCCTGACATGAGGAGGGCCCTGGAACTGGGGGGCTGGTGGCTGGCACCCAGGTGCCAGCAGGTGGCTCCCACAGCCTGGAGGGACATGTTGGGCCCTGCCAGAGCCACTGCCCTGCCTGGGAGGTGGGAGCAGTGGGGCCCTGGGGCCCCTGGCTGAACCCAGGGAAGGCCACAGGTGGCAGCCTCCTTCCGCGTGGACCCATTTCGTGGCAGGCGGATGGGGTGGGGGGATGACCGCACTGAGTGGCAGCACATACACACTCCACACATACCCCTGTGCACTATGGCACACCCCGTAACATACACACCACCCACCAATGCATTACAGCACTGTACATTCCACACCTGCACACACATCCCTGCCCCGGCACCTGCAGGCAGCTCTGTGGCTCGCTGGCAAGCATGTGCTTCAGTAGCAGCACAGCCACCATCACCATCATCTTCACCATCCTCCTTCCGCCGGCATGGCCAACACGGTCCACCAGGGGGCAGCAGAGGCCCGTGTGAGCCGCCCAGACCTCGGCCAGCCGGACACTTGCTGGTCTTGAAGGTCGCTGTATGCGCCTCCTCAGCGCTCCCCTGGGCCTGCTGCGTGGAGGTGACACTCATGCCCCCCTGGAGTGTCTTGGGGCCTCTCAGGGGATGAGGGAGAGAAAGACCTTCTATCCCCTCCCCATGTGGCTGTCGCGGCCGCAGCTGAGCTGATCCGAAGCCAGTCTTCACTGCAGGGTCCCAGGCACCCATCCTGGGTGCAGGGTCCCAGGCACTGGGCCGTCCTCTGCTGCTTTCCCAGCTGCATCAGCAGGGAGCTTGGTGGGAAGTGGAACAGCTGGGACTCGAGCCAGTGCGTGCCCATGTGCGATCCTGGCCACCGGCAGCGGCTTTGCCCGCGCTGCCCCAGTGTTGGCCCCATCCTTGCCTTCCAGAACCTTCTGCGCATGCATACTCCTCCCAGGTAGTCCCTGGGGCTACAGGCCAGGCAGCAGTTCCTGGAAGCTCAGGGCCTTTTCTAGAAACTTCTCTGCTTTGTGGACTTGCAGGGAAACGAAGGGGTTGTGATGTGTTTGATCTCCACAGTCACCCCACGTGCCCCCGCCTTTTGGGGAGGTGCGGGCTGGGCCCAGGGTCTGGGGAATCTTGGGAGCAGCCACCCACTTCTCCTGTATTTCCTTCCAGAAGTTTCCATGGTGACACACATGGCTCATCGCAGATGGCCCCACTCCAGTGTCAGTGAGTCAGCCGTGGCTCCCCCGCTGGCCTGGCCCTCGCGGGAGTGTCTCCTGGGAGTCAGGCTCTCCCTGTTGTCTCAGGGGCGGGAAGGCACGACGTGAGGACACGCACGGCATCTCGGGTGCATTTGCTGTGGCAGTGTCTGCGGGACGCTGCGGCCTGACCTCCTGGGGAGATGCCACGCAGGCCCGGCGTCCCGGAAAGCACCCTGGGTCAGAGACGCTGCAAGCAGGATGCCAGGGTCAGGCCCTTGGCTGGCCTTCCCACACACACCCCTGGGGTCACTCACTCCACAGCCGCCCCAGAGCTCGCCCTCTTCACCTGCGCCCCCTCCACCCGCCGAGCCTCACCTTGCCTGTGTGTGCCTGAGCCCATGGACACACACATGCACTTACACTCACAGACATGTTCATATGGGTTCTGGTACCCCAGCTGTGTCTACATTCTCAGGCACACACTCACACTCATGCACTCTCACACATGCTCACACACACACACTCCCTCTTACCAGGGTGCTGGAGTGTGAATTCGGTGTACAGAGGCTTCTCAGGCTCCCTGGGAAAGCTGTGCCCAGCCCGGGGTCTCTGTACCCGGCCTCGGTGGGGGTGGGGCTGCATTGTGGCACAGCGTGTTAGCCTGACCCCTGCTGCTGACATCCCATGTGAGTGCCAGTTCCAGGCCTGGCCGGTCCACATCCCATCCGGCTTTGGCCTGGAAAAGCAGTGAAGGACGGCCTTGGGGCCCTGCACCCACAGGGCAGACCTGGAAGAGGCTCCTGGCTTCAGCCTGGCGCAGCCCTGGGAGCTGTGGACACGAGGGAGTGACCGAGGATGGAAGATCTTGTCCTATTTCTGTCTCATCTGTCTCCCCCGCCCCCTGTTAACTCTGCCTTTCAAATAAATAATAATAAAAAAATCTTTTAAAGAATGAAAACCATGGCTCCCATCCCCGCCCTGGGAACCAGCCAGCTGGGGGACAGCAGGGATCCTATGGGGGCCTGAGGATGCAGGCTTGGGTGAGCAGAGGGCTAGGCGTCCGGCACCGGTGGGCATGTGGGCACCTGGGAGCTCACCTCTAGGCAGGGGGAGCGAACCTGGGGATTTCCTCACGTGCCTGGTCCTGGGCAGGGAGGCGGAGAGGGGAGAGCCCCAGGTCAGCACACTGCCGTGCTGTGCTGGCAGACCAGGCCTGGGCAACTTCAATGGGCCTGGATCTTGGGTGTGTGGAGGGTAAGGCACCAGGCCAGCACACGTGCCAGGAGCTTGGGACTCTGGTGGGCGGGCAGAGCTCCGGACCAGCACACCACCCGCTGGGCTTCCGAAGGCTGGGCTGGAGAACCCACGCACTCCCGGGCACGAGGACTGTGGGTTGATTAGGGAAAGAAGGGGATATGGGGGAGGGAGGACCGTCCTGGGAGCACCTTGCAGATGAGGAATGACTCTTGAGGGGTCCCAATGACCAGGGCACTGCTCAGTCCCCAACACTGGGGACCTGGGCTGGACGGGAGGCTGGGTGTGGCCCCTGTCCTGTTCTCCGCCCTCCCCCGGATACAGCAAGGGAAAGAGAGAACGCGGAACAAGGGTCTCATCCACTTTCCTCCAGCCCTGATCCTTTGCTCCCTATGTCAAAATCATCAAAAATAAAATTTAAAAAAAATGAAAGCCAGGTGGCTGCCAGCACCAGTGTTTCATCAGCTGTGGGGGACATGGGCGGCTCAAGGGGGCCTCGGGCAGCTGCTCGGCGGCCCCCACGCCTCGCCCGGAGCCTGGGGGCTGGTCACATCAGCCATGTGGCAGGTGGGCTGCGTCCAAGAACCCACTCCCTCTTGGGGAGAGCACAGAGGGAGGAAAATCACAAGAAAATGAGCCCGCGGGCATTGCGGTCAGCGCCGTCTGTGACTGAGCCGGGGGCTGCCTGTCCCTGACTTGGGGAGTTTAGAGAACGGGGGACCCAGAGATCCCACAAGCCCCAGCTGACAGGCAGCCAGCACGCGTGCGTAGACACAGGTTGGTTGGTGGCCTCTGCTTTCTTCCCTCGCTGGCATTTCCCCCTCCTTCCTCACTGTCCGGGGAGGAGGGGCTGGCGCTTCTGAGTGTCAGGGGGCCAGGGGCAGGTGGAGAGGATAGAGGCTGGCTGGGTCCTGGAAACTGGACACTGGTGCTGGGTGCTGGATGCTGGTCACTGGTCACTGGTCACTGGGTGTTGGGTGCTGGGTCCTAGGCACTGGACAGGGGTCCTAGATGGTGGGTGCTGGGCACTGGACACTGGGTGCTGGGCACTGGACACTGGGTGCTGGGCACTGAGCAGGGGTCCTGGATGCTGGGTGCTGGACACTGGGTGCTGGGTGTTGGGTCCTACGTACTGGGCAGGGGTCCTGGATGCTGGGCACTGGTCGCTGGGTGCTGGGCAGGGGTTCTGGATGCTGGGTGCTGGGCACTGGACACTGGGTGCTGGGTGCTGGGCACTGGGTGCTGGATGCTCGGTGCTGGGCATTGTCCATGCTTACCCACTGGGAACACCATCTGGCACCAGATCAGGGGACAGAGGATTGGCTGAGGACTACTGGCCTCCGAAGAACTCTTTTTAAAAAAAGATTTATTAAGAAAAAAATTATTGGAAAGGCAGATATACAGAGAGGAGGAGAGACAGAGAGGAAGATCTTCTGTCAACTGATTCACTCCCCAATGGCCAGAGCTGAGCCAATCCGAAGCCAGGAGCCCAGAGCTTCTTCCAGGTCTCCCACGTGGGTGCAGGGTCCCAAGGCTTTGCGCCGTGCTCCACTGCTTTCCCAGGCCACAAGCAGGGAGCTGAGCTAGAAGTGGGGCTGAGGCTCAGGGCGCCCTGATACAGGGGACCCTGGCATCTCCTACAGACTCCATGTGCCATGCCTGCTCCTTGGTGGAAGACTGAGAGCACGTGTCACCAGCCTTGAGAGGAGATAAGGCAGGACTCCCCAGGCGTGGCCCATCCTGCAGCTGTCTGAGGTCCCGGGCTCTGGCGGCACTGCCCGATGCCGGGGGC